CGAAGGCTCATGGTGCGACTCCGGAAGCGACTGGAGCGCGTCGAGTGCCTCCCCTGAACTGCGCAGCCTCATCAACGCGGCGTTTCTTCGATTTATATCCACAAGTCACGGTCGTCTCAAGAGGCCCACACATCGGCGTGACGAGGTTCCCTCCACGCATTCCAGGAGGTGTGGGCTTCGTCAGAGACTGGAAGAGTCCCTTCAAATTTCCGCAGGGACGACAGGAGTCCCGTCCGCTCTTCTTGATGGCATCGTGTCGGCAATTCGGCAGAAAAGTGATCGCGTGCACGCGGCGGCTCTCATTGTGCATCACCTCTCTGACCCTGAGAACAGTGCTCTCCGTCAGGCCTTACTAGAAAGTCGGCTCTCCCCCACAGCGCTTGCGTCCATGGCGGAGAGCGAACTCGTCAATCCAAAACTTAGAGAAAAGTGGGAGAAACAACGCCTGAAGAATTTGGAGCAAAAGACCGTTATTTTTGTTGAACAGCTTACAGCAATGGTGACATCCATCTACACCTGTCCCGCCTGTGGCGGCCAACGGTGCACTTTGAGACGGCGACAGGCCGACAAGCAGAAATGGGCTGGCGACGATGAGGCACCTAATCTCTTGACTTGTTGCGCCTGTTCTCATGCCTTTAGGCGGTAAACGTAAACAACTGGAAGTTGTGGGAGACGCTGTATGTGTGAAGGTTACAAAACTTTTTTTCTGCCACAAGGATGCATCAAAAAAAAAAAAAATGGGAAGAATAGAGCAGGAATGAAAATGATGGGTCGCTGGTGAGAAGGAGTTAAATGTGACGCGTCTGCAGACGTATCACCTTTGTCTCTCAATGTATATATATATATATATATATATATATATATATATACCGAGAAGAAGGGAGACGAATGCTTTTCTTATGACTGTATTGCCTGGGCAAAAATGATATGCTTCCCAATGGGTTATTACTTGGGTGGTTGGGAAACAAATTTTGTATTGGTGCTTTTTGTGTGAATATATTTTTTTTTGTTTTTTTCTGTTGTTGTTGTTGTTCTGTTTTACATTTGTGTTTTACGTGCGTCATTTCTACATTTTGGAGCTTCTTTGTCGCGGTAGAGTCCCACGGCGAGGCAGACTGGGATCAGTAACGACGAACATGTCCGAGGAGAACGCAGATGAAGCGGTGGGTGTCAAGCGGCCTCGTCCTGTTTCATTCACAACCACGACTACCCCACTGGAAGATTCCGTGGATGTCATCCCACGTGTTAGTCCCCGAACCCCGCTGCCGCTGGCGCGGAAGTCAGTGATGGGTTCGCCCGTTGGCTCCTTTGGAAACAGCACTCAGAGCGCCACCCCTATTAAACCGAAGGAGGAGCCAATGATTGGGGGAGTGCAAGGCAGCAGCCGCGTTGCCAAGTGGAGCGCCCTGATTGGCAGTGCCCTCATGCAGGGTCGAGCCAAGGAGGAGGAGGAACAAATCAATGCCCTTGCTTTGCGCATTGTAACGGCCATTCCCGGTGATCGTTCCCTGGCAGCAGACGGCTTCCGCGTGCTCTTGGTGAACTTGAGGGACGCTAAGAATACCAAACTTCGAGAGGACATTATTGAAGGACGATTGCCGGTGGAAGTGCTGGTGCATATGTCAGAGAGGGATTTGCTGAACCCGGAGGCGAGGAAAAATCAAGAAGAGGAGTTCTTGAAGCGGAGCAGGGATACCGACCTAAGTGAAATACGGAGGGCAATGGCCACCAAGTCCACGCTTTTTCCATGTCCGTCATGCAAGGCGAGGGATTGTTCATGGACACAGAAGCAAACGCGTTCTGCCGATGAGCCCATGACCGTCTTTTGTATCTGTAATGTTTGTGATCACAAGTGGAGGCGCTACTGAGGGTGGGGAGTTCTAGGTGTATATGGAAACACTCTCGGCCTTGTTTTCTCTTCTTGCTGCTTTGTTGCCCGTACTTCAAGAAGTTTACTTGAATGGATGCTTGTGCGTGGGTACGTTGTATCTGCGCCTGCCGTCCTTATTCTCCTTGCATCATTTCTTGTGGACATGAATTTGTACGTGCATATGTGTGTGGGTGTCTTTAATGCCCTCTCCCTCTCTCTCCCTCCCTCTCTTTTTTTTTTTTTTTCTTCCACTCCGTTTGTCTTTTCCTTGCAGTGGGATTCTTCTGAAGGATGGAGACGATTGAGGAGCTGAGGTTGAAGTTGACTGAAGCGCAGGAAGAGTGCCGACAATTAAAAGCCGAGAATGAGGAGCTGCGACGGAAACTTGGGCTTTCGCCACAATTAGCCGGTGCTTGTTTACCGGGAGGCATTTTTTCATCGTGCTCTGAGACCACGAAGTCGACGGATCGTCTTATTATCGAGCTGCAAAGAAGACTTTGGGATGCTCTCCAACGCAATTCTTTTCTGGAGCAGGAGTCACATGCAGGGCACAGTGCACTCATACAAACCTATGAGGGATTCATTGAACGCCTGGAGAAAGAACTGCACCGCTGTCAGGAACTGCTTCGCCAACAGACAAGTGATTCTCCTCCAGCCAAAAAGCCAGGGGGTGAAATTGGTTGAGTATGAGGTTGGGCGTTGCATTACATATATATCATTTGTCTATACACATCCACTATCGAGACGCGCACTGATGAAAGATACTCTCATGTCGTCAACTTTGCATTGTTTTTATGAGCGCATCTCTTTATTTGCGTGTTTATTAATTGCCATTCTCTTGTTGTATGTATTTGCGTAGTCCAGGCACTTTGGTGATCTATTTGTCTGTGTGTCTGTGTGCGTGTTTTTTTGTTTTGTTTTGTTTTTTTTGCTCTATTCGTATACATGTCATTTTTCATTGGTTTTATGTTTGTTGTTGTTTTGGCCAATTGAACGGCCCCTTCAACTTTAGTAAAGAAGCCATGGATTCCCTGGGAAACAGAGAGACACCGCAGGAGAGTGAGGGAAATTCCCAGAGAGAGGCTTCTTCAAGAAGTTCACCGAAGTCAAGCGATGTTCCGTACCAAGAAAAAAAGGAATTCTGCACCTGGCGCAAGCATGTGCGTGATCTGTACCAGTACCTCGTCCACATTGATCTTGTGTGGGAAAGTCCTTCCGCGCGGTTGATGCCGTATATGACTGCGAAAAACGGCCTGGCCACGCAGACCGTGTTGTGTTGTTCCAGAACTGGTGGCTTGGAGCAGCAGTACATACAGTTACTATCTGTGACGACACCGAATACTGTCGAGTCGCTTGATCGCACGTATGACACTTACTGCGACGCAACTGGCGAGGTTGGTGGCTACGGGATGGCGCCAAGTCAAGTAGACATGAAAGTTGAGCGGCGCATGTTACACGATGGGGATCCTTTAATAGTGCGTTATATGCACGCCAATCCGCTTATCATCGCATCAGGTTCGAGTGATGGCAATGCGTACGTCTTTGATTGGTCGCGTATTTCGCTAAACAAGTTTCCCAATGATCCGGCTCGGCCCCGTGCTCCGCTTCCACCCAATGATCCGGCTCGGCCCCGTGCTCCGCTTCCACCCAATGAACTCAGTTCAAACCCCACCGACGAGGAACGCATGACGTACCACAGGCGAATGCAGGCCTTGAATGCGGTGGTGACGGAACAGGATCGATGGGACAAGCGAAGAGGGGAGGGACAACATCTGCTGAAACTTTCTGGCGGAAGCGGTTCTTGTGAGGCACTTGACTGGAGTGTTACCTCCGATGGGACGCTGGCGTCCGGTTCGGTTGGAGTTGTATGCTACTGGCACGTGGGAAACACGGCGAAGGATGATGATCGCACCCTCACGCCGTCCCATACGTATAAACTGGAGGATGGTGAGGCTCGGGTGAGTGAAATTTCCTTTTCTTGGAAGGATCCCCATGCGTTTGTGGTATCGTGTGAAACTGGAACAGTTCTCTACGGCGATGTAAGAACACCGGATCTCATGGAGCTGTTTTCACTGCCAAACGGAGTCACATCGATTTCTCTCTCGCCACTCGATGGTAATTCTTTCTTGGTTGGTGCAGAGAATGGCGAGGTACTTTACTACGATCTTCGTAAAAGCACAGATGCTGTGATGTTATTTGGCCGTATGCACAATGGGCCGGTGTCTGTGGTCCAGTGGTGTCCGCACTCTCGACATCTCTTCAGCAGTGGCGGTGGCGATGGGAAGTGCTGCATTTATAATGCCACGTCAAATCGTTTGCTGTTTAAGCACGCGGGACACACCGAAAATGTAACGGACCTCTCGTGGAATTGGCAGGAGGGATTTGAGGGTCACCTGATCTCTGTGGATAGCAACAGCGTGATGCTCTGGAGGCCCAGGGACATGTTTTTTGTCTCGTGAATACGGACGGTCTTTGCATCCGCACGCATAGAAGATAATGTGATTTCTTTTTTTTTCTCTCTCTCTCTTTCTTTCTCTCTTTTTTATGTTTCTTTGTGTTTAGAATTGCTCAGTGTGGTGATTTTTCCGTTGCAAACGAGTGAATGAGGGCGTCTGCAGCCGTCTGACTCTCGTGCAACACAGCCGACCTCTGCACACGGCAGAATGGTGAAGGAGAAACAGTGCCTTGTGTCTCTTCTGTCTTTTCTCTCTGGCCTTCACGGTGGTGTTTTGGGGGAATTCGCCCGGGAAGGCCGCGGAGACGTCTAAAATAACAACCGTAATAGAAGCAAAAGGGGAAGGAAAAAGAAAAGAGGGAGTGTTTTGAGGAACCGTGAAGAACGGCAGCAACAAAAACAAAAAGGAAAGAAAAGGGAGGGGGAGGTGCGAGCGGCTTTATGAGCGGCACACCGTCGAATGCGATTTGTACGGCGTGGCCGGAGATGGCGCTGGACAGTCGCATTTTGGAGGCCATCAAGCGCGTCAAGTGGAATTCACCCACCCCAGTGCAGGGCGCATGCATCCCGCTGGCCTTAAAAGGACGTGACTTGGCGATACAGTCTCGCACGGGCAGCGGGAAGACGGGTGCCTTTGTCATTCCCATCCTGCAACGCGTCATTACCGAGACGGAAAAGATGTGCAACCGACGCACCGCAAAGAACCCTGTAGCTCTTATCCTGCTGCCCTCTGTGGAACTGTGCGAACAAACCGTTGAGGTGGTTACTGCTCTGGCAAAATACGTGAGACCGAGGGTTGTGGTGGATAACCTGACATCTCGCGGAGTTGTCACAAAAGCACGTGTAGCCGCCGCCCCCATTCTCGTGACTACCGCCGCGCTGCTTGGCAAGCACTGCCGCAGTGGTACAGTGACCGCCGAAGATCTGGCAACCCTTCGCTGTGTTGTCATTGACGAAGTGGATTTTGTCATCTCCATTGCCGAGGGTTCACTGCGCGCCGTGCAGTCTGTTTTGCCACCCTCAGTGCAGACTATCCTTTCATCCGCAACATTGACAGACGGAGTGGTGCACATTAAGAGTCAGCTGCTCCATAACCCTGTCACCATCACGCTGAGCACAGACGATGAAAACGAGATGACCCCAACAGAGGGTGAAAACATCGTCGTAGAGTCCCGCATCACGAAGAAAGGAATTAATTCCGAGGAAAGGCTGCGGCACTACTACCTTGTGGCCACCGACGAGTGTCATCATCACACTCTGTTGTATGCGCTATACCGTCTTGGACACATTAAAGGCAAGACCCTCATCTTCGTCAATGAGGAGGAAAAGACGTATAAAGTGCAGAGTTTTTTGGCACAGTTGGGAGTGGAGGCGCTTGTGTACGATTCCAACTTGCCTCTAAACGTCCGTGTGGACACACTTCACCGTTTTCAGGTGGGATCCGTCGGGACGCTGGTTTGTACCGATGGAACGCTAGAGAGTGTCGACAACCTGCAGGAATCCATACCGGGGGCGGAGGCGCAGACTACACGAATGCACAGCAAGAAAGGGAAAAGGACAGAAGACCGTCATGATGGGGCCTTACAGCGGGGAATTGATTTTTCAGACGTCCGAAATGTCGTTCTCTTTGATGGCATAGCGCATCCGACAACCTCCGCCTTCTCTCTTTACACTCATCGAGTCGGGCGTGCCGGCAGGGCGGGTAAGGGCGGCATGGCGATCACACTGTTTACCCTTCAGCAAGCGCAGAGGGTGACACGACATTTGCGCCGTCATTTGGGGGCCACGCATGATACATTTGAACCGTTCAAGCAACTCCGCCGCCAGGAGGCGGCAAAGCTTCAGTATCGGGTCGACAATGTGCTCTTCTCTATCACCAGGTCGTCCACTCGCCGCCAACGCATTTCCTCCGTGGCTGCAGAACTCACCCGCAGTGCCTACCTAAAAAGTCACATGAGTCAAAAGGATGAGGCTGTTCTTCAGCGGATTTTATCACGATCCAAGAAGACAACAAAGTGTGACACGACGTTACTTGACGTCCCACACTACATGCACATTGAGGGGGTGGACTCTGCTGAAAAATACCGAAAACGTGTCCGTGCGTGTACATCATCAAAATCTTCATCCGCTTCTCAGCAACCGAGAACAAGGTCCCGTGACCCACTCAGCCGGGTGGCCAGCGCTGTAAAGATGGGGAAGGCGAAGAAACGAAGGTTGTAATATTTCACATCGCGTCGTAAATATTCTCACTGACAATGAAACTCCTGTTCCCCACTTTTTATGTGTCTGGTGTGTCTTGGAAGGGGGTCGTTGCAGACCATCGCCTTGTGCAACACGGTACGCTTTTAATGAACGGTTAATTTCATAAGACGGCTCGTTTGTCTTTTGTTTTTCCTGCCGCTCTCGTTGCTTCTTTCCCCCCTTCTTACACGATGCCTTAAAAACTGTCTTTTTTTTCTCTTTCTTCTTTTCCTTCTTGACCCCTCACGAAGGAAGTTTGGTAGCCATCGAATTCCCATGCTCTGAGGAGGTGCCGCTTAACATCCTTCCGTTTTATGCCCCATTTCTTTCATCCCTACACAAGAGCGGCTCTTCAACAATGGGGTGAACGCCACATCTTTTGTCCGGCTTTTTATGGTTTGCAGGGTTTGAATGTAAACAGTTTTTGTTGTAGAATTACCGATGCCAGTATTTGCCTTGCCATTTTTTCTTATTTGGATGCCGCGATACTTCGACTCCTTTTGTCGTTATTGTTGTTTTGGATGTTTTTTTACATTTTGAATCTCGACCTTCTTGTCGTGGATGCGTGGCAGACGGATTATGTCTTTGATAAGAAAAATCCGTCTACTCTCTCTCTCTCTCTCTCTCTCTGTGTGTGTGTGTGTGTGTGTGCGTTTCGGCACTTTGGTGGTGGTGCATCGACCATGGGAGTGTGAATGGCGCTGGCGTGTCATTTGTCGTGGGTGTTGACTCTCAGCAGCAGATCGCCAGTTGCCATTGCGGGGTTTTCCTTTTGGACTGGTGAGTGTGTGCCTTGCGTGATGCGTTCTTCTTTTTCTTTTTTTCTTCTTTTTTTGTACGTTATGCTTGAAATCGTTGGGGCAGCACATGTGGGACAACCGATGCGTTGTTGTTGAGAGCGGCCGCGAGCTGAGCATCGGACTTGACGTGTCATGCGACATCGTCGTGCAGCAGCCCCAATCGCGTGCCGCCGGGGCTCACATCGTCGCTTCCCGCCATCCTGTCCTGGCTCGTATTTCTTGCACCGCGGAGGAGGAGCTGCTGCTCAGCATCCCGGCCGCTAGTATTGCTGTGTACGTGAACAATATTAAATTGGGGATGCTTAGCCGACCCTTGCGGCTTCCCCCCGGCTCTTTTGTCTCATTCATTAAATGTTGCAAGCAAACGACGTTTCGTTTCTTTACAATCAGCACGTATTCGGTTGCGGTGCCAACGCCGGAGAGCACCTCAAAAGTATTGACTCCCAAACCCTTGGTGGAAAGCCTTCGAAACAAGCCATTACTGCTGCTACCTCTGGCACCAACTGGTGAGGTGGAAGAGATAAATTCTCCGCGATCGCCACGTGTGGTGCAAATTATGGGGTCTTCCAAAGAAAACAAAGCGGAGTTGTTGATGGCTTCATACGAATCAAAGCCTTTAGAGGAAACAGAGAAAAGTTCCTGTCAAGGTCTTACGGATCCTGGAAGCTCGGGTTTCGCTCACAATATGCCGCCGTACATAGGCAAAGCGGATACTTACCTGCCACCATCACCACATGCCATCGTGCCCTACGTTGTGGAGTTGTTGGGGGAGCGTGCCGCTCTTCACACTATTATGGATCAGAGTAGTCTGAGCGCCTCAGAAATCGGCCAGTTGTCGGATCCAAAAAGCACAAAAACGAAGCTCAGCCATCATGTTTTGGATGATCCCTACATGACATGCCACGGGTACGAGGTGTTAAAAGGTGTTCGTTACATGCGCTTTGAGACGCCGGTGCGTTCAGCGGCGGCAAATGTATTGGAATGTGTTGAGGATGCCTACGAACCGGAAGAGGGTACTTTTTTGAAATTCACCGAAAGCAGTAGAAAAATGCTTTTGGAACAATTCTTTCTTCTGGCGGAGCATGCGATCATGACAATGTCATTTTCACCGTTAACGATACGGCGTCGGTCACCCATTTTCTGCTGTGGTGACATTCATGGCAGTTTTGCAGATCTAAAGTTCATTGCTGATAGCGTGGTGCCCTTCCGTCACTGGTCTCTCATGACAACACCGGTGCTGTTTCTTGGCGACTACGTGGATCGTGGCTTACACGACGTGGAGGTTGTCTTGTACCTCCTCTCCTGGCAGGCTCTTTGCCCGGAGAATGTCATCATTCTTCGTGGCAATCATGAAGATGAGGAGATAAATGGTGACGTTGAAACTTATGGTGATTTGTCCTTCCGCAAAAAGTGCTGGGATTTCTTTGGCAATAAAGATGGCGAGATGTTTTGGAGACGCGTGAATGATGTCTTTGCGACGCTTCCGCTAATGGCGATTGTGGACGACACCATTTTTGCGTGTCATGGGGGTATCCCGCTGCTGCATGTTAACTTGGACGAGCCTGCGCCTCGCGGGCGAGAGGAGCAGCCGCCCCAAGAAGGGCAGCAGAGGCGTGAGAAGGAAGGGGAGGAAAGAGATAAATACCCGTCTTCCCCGAGGGAAATCACAGCAGGCAACGATGGCGTTCCACACGAGGATCTTCTAAAGCTTCTTATGGACGGCACCCCGAGTGAGTTGAGTGACCTTCGTTTTCGCTGTCTGATGCCGGTCGATAATGAAGAGGGTCGGATTGCGCAGTTTCGCCGTCTGGTGCGCGAGCTGCTCTGGAACGATCCCGTCTCTTCTTCTGTCACTTGTGACACTCCGTTGCTACGAAGTGGAGAAGGCATTTTTGGTCAGGCATCAGACGAGCATGCTTTTCGCCATGACGCATTTGATGCACACGGGTTCCGCAGCAATATG